CACTCGAGGAGTGGCGATCACTCTTGATGGGCGCACGAGAGACGTTCGAGATTCTGACAGACCATCAGAACCTCCAGTATTTTAAAAGTCCACAGAAGGTGAACAGGCGGCAAGCACGATGGATAGTGGAACTATCCGAATACGACTTCACATTGTCACACCGGGCTGGCGCCCTCAACAAAAAAGCTGATTTATTATCCCGCCGGGCGGACCACGATCAAGGGAAGAACGACAATGAGAATGTCGTCCTTCTCAAACCGGAGTACTTCCGATCTCAGGAGATCACATGGAAGGGCCGGAGGCTGAGATATGTCACAAATCAAGGCTACAAAGCACGTGGACAAAAGCGTCAAGCTAGCGCTTGAGAAAAACCTCCCGGGATGGGAGAAGATCGACGACCTTATTATTATAACGGTCTGATTTATGTTCCTCGCAATGAGGAACTTAGAAATAAAATTATTGGTCTACATCATGACTCGGCCCTGCTCGGCCATCCAGGGGAAACCGACGCAGGAGTTAATAGAACGAAACTACTGGTGGCCGAGGCTCGCCAACCAGGTTTCTATTTATATCAAGGAATGTGAAGCGTGCCAGAGGACACGTATCCACCAATATCAGCAAGGGAAGCTGAACCGCACAAGATTGCAGAAGGACCTTGGCAGATCATATCGGAGGATCTCATCGGGCCGTTGCCGGTCAGCAACGGCTTTAACGCTATTCAAGTTTGGGTGGATACATTTCGAAGATGATCCACGCGAACCCACAAACATGGAGTTGACCTCCGAGGGAATGGCCCGGTTGACCCGGGATCGCGTGATTAGATATCACGGCGTGCCACGAAAATTATCTCGGACCGGGACCAAGATATGTCTCCGGTTTCATGCGAGAGCTCAACCGGCACTTGGGATAGAAATGAACCCGAGCACCGCCTTCCATCCGATCACTGATGGACAGACGGAACGCATGAACCAGGAGATCGAAAAATACCTCCGCGTGTTCGTAAATTATCGGCAGTCGGACTGGGCAGAGTGGCTCGCTTTGGCTGAGTTCACTCACAATGAAAACAAAGCTCGTCGACAAGCATGTCGCCGTTCTTTGTGAACACCGGATACCACCCGTGGAAGGGGATAGAAAATGCAGTCGAGTCGCGCAACGAGGCCGTGAACGACTTTGCCAGAAAATGAAAAAGATCTGCAACGAGGCAGCGGCTGCGCTGGAAAAAACCCAGAAAACAATGAAAAAATATTATAATATTCATAGGCGCCAGGCGCCTGATTTCAAAGTCGGCGATAAGGTGTGGCTGGAGGCCAAAGACATCACCACGGATCGTCCGACTAAGAAGCTCGACGATAGAAGGCTGGGGCCTTAGGAGATTCTAGGAAAAGTCAGGGCCTCGGCATATCGGCTCAGGTTGCCTGAAACGGACAAGTCACATCCGGTTTTCAACGAGACACTGCTGACGCCTTATGTCGAGCCACCGACACATTGGAGAGAGGAACGGCCGGCGCTGCAGATCGTGCAGGGTCACGAGGAGTACGAGGTGGAGGAGATTTTGAAGCACCGCAAGCGTGGGAAGGGCTTCCAGTATTTAATAAAGTGGAAAAATTACCCTCTGGGGAGAGGACGTGGGAACCACGGCGTCACTTGACGAACGCCAAGAAGATCCTTGATAAATACAACAAGGATCACGGGATCAATATTCGCGCAGTCCCAGTCCTGCCGGCCGGACATTGGGACTATTTAATCAAAAGATACAAACACCGCGAGGAGTCGCAACAATACTTGACGAAAAAACTATTTATTCCCGAAACCAATGTCTTCATTGAAATCAACGAGGACATTGAGTCTAGAGGGGGGGTAATGTCACGATTTGACCCCAATCTAATCGCTCCAACACCGATCGATGAGCACGTGACCCCAGCGCTTGTTGCACGAGCGCTTCACGCCGATGGCATAACGTGGGAGGATTTTGCTGGCTAAAGATCACACGGCAACAGAACACAATAGTCGGAACACAATAGTCGTTTCCATGAACTATATTTAGTATTGACACTTGACACTTGACGTCTCCGATCACGATTTGCCTGGTAACCTCATTGTATTATATACTTAGCTACTTAAGTTCACACGGTTCGACAAACAGTATAAGTAGAGTAGCTATTCACTTGTAGTTCTTTAGTCTTTTATTCGATCATCTTTTCGAGATCACTTGCACCTCCCAATCCACTCTCTTGTAGAGTTGGACGCAAGCCTTGACTGTGACACACGTGGGTCGTTAATTTCCTGGAGGCAAGCAGGGACCTTAACTGGACCACCTTCCATCTTCGAGAGATGGATACAAGGATTTTCGATGTTCACATCAACCCTGTTGTCAGCCAGAAGGAGCAGATAGTTCACACCATCCTGGGCGCCACCGCTATGAACTCTGCCCATGGCAGAGTTCTCCCCATTCTCCTTCCATCCCCTGAACTCCTCAAGTTGTGTGATGTCCCACGCACTAGCTTGATTCTTGACCCATTTCCTCTTGGGCAAGAGAGAGACCTGCTGGAAGGCCAGATTCACGGCCTTCTCGATGATGAGGTTCGCTTTTTAGGGCTGCTGCATGTCACTCAAATCACATCCCAAGCTCTGGAGGCAGTAAAAACCAAAGTGGTGAGTGTTGTGCATCTCTTGGAGGCCGGGTTGTCGCCATTGAGATCACGAAAGATATTCTGTTAGAGGGTCTCCTTGGAAAGTGTGGTGGGTATTGGGATGAGACTGTGGGATGGGGTCCTCAAGAAAATTGTCATCTTCGGAGCATGTTCAATGACATTCCCCGTTCTGGCAACCTCTCTATTCACACTATTGCCCGTTACATTGGTCCGTTCCTTGATCTTTGGTGGGTGACAATATCACACCTGCTCTATTGGATTCACATCCTTTTCCTCAGCCGCCTTCTCAATTGGATCAATCCTTTAATAATCACCACACAGTCAAACCAGGTGGCAGCAATGCTTCTATCTGGTGATCTTGTTGCATCTTGATCTTTTCTCCCCACGGACAGTGCTAAAACCTTTGTGGATGGAGTCACCCCATCTGGACTAAGGAAACACTTCCCCGAAGACATCCGTGCCAGAGAATTCTGCAGAGCGGAGTTCAGTAATCTGCTTGGGCATATTCAAGTCGTGCAGACAGGTTCTGATCCAGCCAAGTTGTTGCTCCACATAGCAAGTGGGGATGCTGGTCGGTTCAAGTATGACACAATCCTAACTCGTCTGCGGTGGAACATGAACTTTCTCATCGAATCATCACCCAGGTGCTCCGCAACCGCGCGATTGAGTGGACCGATCCCGCACAGGTCCGAAGGCTGCTTGAGCGTGTCAAGACGAGAACAGAAGCGGTGCTGCTCCGTTCAGGGGTTACGAAGGCGCTGGAGGGAGCAAAGAACGAGGCTCGGGGGGCGGAGCTCATTGTCAACTTCCTTCGAGCTGCACAGCTGGCCAAGGAGGTGCACAATGCCTGGGTTCATGACAGCTCGGATCGGGGTCCACAGACACGGCGCGACGGTATCTGCACCCTCGCCGCAGGCGAACTGAGACGAGATCAGCTGGAGAGCATCTTGCGCCAGGCGCGAGAACTCGACAACTACAGCCTGCCGCCGGACCCCGACCACCTCGGCTCCTTTCTCCACCCCATCCTATCGCCCTCTTTTGCTGACTGGTTCATGCAGCTGGTGGACGACACCGACATTGTCTACGCCTCGAATGCTTTGGGCAGGTCGGAGGAATTCGCTGCGGCGGCCAAGGCAAACCAGAAGGCTATCGGTCAGTGGCACAAAACACACACAGTCAAGGTGTATGTCGACACCGCCACTATCGAGCGGCGCAGCATGATCGAGGCGATCCGGGAGCAAGCGCAGGTGGGCACCTACGAATACAAAGAAATCCTCCTCAAGTTTCACATTGCCGACTGCCCCGATTGCGAGTCGTTCGCCATCGGTGGACACAACAGCGCCTACCATCTGTGTGAGGTGACAGGCCTCCAGAAGCAGGTGACCGGTGTCAATTTCCCGACCCTCGAACAAGTCCACTATGCCCACGACATCCTCAACAACCCCCACATGCGGGCGGCTCTTGGGGACATCGCGGACGTGCTCGCCCAGTTGGATCTTGTTGCCGTATCAGTCCAGGAAATCCTTGACTCGCCAGCGAGCGATGCAATCCTGAAAACTGTCCTCTCCACCGATCCGAAACTGTCTCCATGACTAGCTGCTCTAGCAGCAGAACTCCACGTGGACTCGGATATCAACATTTATCTTCTGGTCGATCGCATTGACAACAACGATCTTCGGCTGACGTTGGCGGTAGATGTTGTCCTGTCCACGCACTCTAGATGCACTCCCAAATTTCTCCCTGCTGACTTTGACCGGCAAATCGCTTGGTCTGCAAAGCAGGCTCAAACACTTGAAACATGGTTCACGTCCACCACACGTATGTCCTTTTTTGATTTGGTTTACTTTTTCTGATGAATCGTCAGGAAAACCCGACCTGTACATGTGCGTGTGTCACGGTCCGGGAGGTTACCCAACCTTGGAGAAGCCGGCCTTCTTCTTGTCTACCGCAGTCATCTCCGGCGTCAGGAAGCGGGGGCTCTTGGTGAAGGATGGTCGCATCTGTACCGTTTGCAATAACAAGAAAAAGTGTGAGCATCAGGAATTTAGCCTCGTCAAGACATACTTGACCTCCCCCCACACCACTCCCGCTGCCTCTGGTTGTGGCTCCGCTGGGGCATCAATCGCGAGCTGCCTAGGGAGTCAAAACAAAATCAAGCCGATCGCTGTCGTCGTTAATACTTGTGCGCTTGATAAGGTACGTTGTATGTTTTCCCGCAGTTCTCCCGGCTGACCTTTTGCAGTAGCGGTTCCTGTTGATGTTCTTTCTCTTCTCTGCTGTCCTTTGAACTGTATCGTTGGCTATATGCTGTAATTGAATATTATTTCCCTCACCTGCAGAGGTTTCGACGCCCGCCTAGCTCAATCGGATAGAGCGTGTGACTTTTATAACCGTTTGTCACATCACGGTGGCAATCACAAGGCTGCGAGTTCGACCCTCGCGGTGGGCTATTTCAATTTTTGCTTTATCGGCAAATATCTTTTTACCATCCGACAGATTGCGATATTACCCGCCGCATCCCTTCCTGGAACTGTCGGCTTTGCTCAACTTGTGTATCTAACAATCATGGCTGGCCAGCCCCTTTTTTTTCCTCCTTCTTTTTCAATGTCATCCACGGACTTCGGACCTGGGTGCGAAGATGATTCAGTGGTCCAATCTCCACTGATGGTATATGTGCAGCCCTATCTCGCTCTCCGACTTCATGTTCTTGGGACAGTATAACGCGCCCGTGGTGTCTGCGAACGGCGGGAACTGATGGAAATCGCCGAAGAGAATGACGCTCAGTCCCCCGAAAGGCTTGGACCAAGGGGTGATCAGGCAAGCGCCATCAGAGATGAACCCTTGCAGTATGTTGGTGTTTGTCACCAGCGTTGATCTCACTGACGGGGTCACGTGCAACCGCGCACACGCTCTTCCGCACGCGATTGTTATTGTTCTCGGTGAATCTTTCTACATCTATGTATTTGGGGAGGTAAATTAATCCTGAATAGTAGCTAATCTACCTTGCTTAGCTACATGGGAGTCAGAACCAGTAGTAGATTGTGTCCCAGACCTTTCCCTTGGCCGTTTTCGGGACTTCCCTGTGGTGCTTGTTTCGAAGCTTCAGGATTCATTAGCTCAAGAACATGTAACTGATTGTCAGAGAGGCACCTCGGCATCGCGTTGCTTCGCAATTTTCTTCTGACAGGCGGTCCGGTGTGATTCCAACCGGTAGGTGGTTGTACCTGCCGGCCCGACATTGATTATCTCGCCACACGAATCGCAGCTGACCTCGTGGCTCTTCTTCTCGTCGTCATAGCGTGTCTGAAACGTCGCGCCATCCCCCAATTGGATTACCTGAGGTTGCGACGTCCCTTTTACTCTCGCGGGTGGCATGATGGGAGGGTGGAGGGCCAACAGTCTTATATTACAGCCTCAGGTCAGTTCAGGCCATCCAAATACCTGAATCGACCCCCCCATGTTGTTTTACGTGTACCAATATCGATTATATGTTTGGCGCGGCCACGCGTTTAGCAAGCGCGCGGTTGCACGTGACCCCGTCAGTGAGATCAACGCTGGTGACAAGCACCAACATACTGCAAGGGTTCATCTCTGATGGCGCTTGCCTGATCACCCCTTGGCTTGGACGGGTCCCCAATCCCCCCTGCGTCGCGCACCTCTCCCACTATTTGCGAGACCTTCGCCAGTAGCTTCTTCGTCAACATCGAACACTCGTCGATGTCGAGATATCGCGCTGGCAGGATGTTGCGCTTGCGCTGTTCGATCGTCGCTTGAGCGGGCGGCTTTGGCGCCTCGTTGGCGTCCAGGCCCTTGGCGCGGATGGAGATACCGGCCCACGAATGCAATGTCTGACCTTCGACCAAGCTGGCTGCGAAGCGGGTCGTCGCCGTCCTCGCCAATGCATCCAACGCCTGCAGGTAGTCGAAGGTGTCTGCGATGGCGTTGAGGAGCACGGTCTTACCCGTGCCTCCTTCTCCGCGTACTATCATCAAAAGCTGTTCGTGGACCATGCCAGCCAACGTCCTCTTCGCGTGTGCCTCTATAATGTCGTGCGCTTTGCGCTGCTCGGTGTTCAAAAGGTCCAGGCCGCCTGCTGCTTGGCGTTGCGCGTGAACGGAACGGCCGACGCAAGGTCTTCGAAAGCGGCTGCAGGCCTCGGTCGCCCAATTTGGACGTCGGTGGAGTCCGACGACGGGAGTTCCAACGCGTTAGACGGCTTCAGCAAGTCCTTGCGCGTCATGGAAGCCACCAACTTTCCCCACTCCCCATACCTGATGACCTCGTCACATGTAGCTTGTTGCTGGAGGGGACCAGTGCTGTCGAGAGTCGTTTCTTCGAATATGCCGACTCGCAGGGCGACGTTCATGGCGTGTTCTCCGTACGCCCAATCTCGGAACTGGCCGCGATTATCTCGCGCCGTTTGAACATCGTCCTCGGTCCAGGCTATTTGGAAACTATCTAGCTCCGTCAGTTCCTGGTCGCGCCGGATGTAATCGTTGACGTCGATGATGGCGTCAGGTGCCGCAATAATCGTATCCTTCTGCCTCTTCAATATATATTTTTTGGCATCATCATCGGCGGCTGTTACATTAGATATTTCATCCGGTTTTGAGTGCTGGGCTCCCTCCACTCAATTTTCCTAACGGTTTTGGCTCTGTATAGGCGCATGTCGGGCCGTCGGCACATGAAGTTGCCCTGAACATTGGTCCCTTTCTTTTGCCTTTGCTCGATTTAATGGGCTTCAGCTTGGTAACCGGTCAAATCTCTCGGTGGTATTTATCGTGAACTTCCTGCTCGGCACACAGCCGAAATTGTTTCCATGCTTCTCGGGTCGCGGGAGTGCATCACAACCACCATCCTCCTTGGACCGCCACTTTGAAGAACGGTTCTATTGCTTCTCGCCATATTACCATTCTGGTTTAAGGCGTCGTACGCACCGGTGACCCGCTCGCTATCTTTCGTTTATTCTTTTGGATTACGTCACCGTGTTCCTCTTTCAATTTTCCTTTGTAGGTCTACTCGTGCTGAAAGTGGACCGACCGAGTGGTAACATTTAAACTCTCAAATTCGTGGGTTTTCGTGCATCAATCGCCGATTCGCAAGTAGCTTCGAATTCTCAGCCAGCCCCAATAGGCCTCGATCCGCCTTGAACGGCAGACAGGCTCTCCGCGGCCCAGCCCTGAGTGGGATCGTGTTTTTTATCTGTGCAATGACGCGTTTCCGATTCATCCTCAGCCCAGCTGACCGATGCTGTCCTGTCGACTTGTTATGCTGTTTATTTTCCCCACAACACGGCTATGTCCCGTCGGGTCACTCCACATTGCATACATGTTTAAGAGATTTATGGGGAAGACAAGCGACAGAGCAGGCAAAAGATGGCACGCATGCACAATTCATGGAATTAAAAATCCTTGCCCTCAAGTTATAGTCTTGAATCTGGCCGAGCAGACCTCGCTGTTGTCACGGGTTTTAAAAACAAACTTCGCCTGCCCAGCTCTTTCAACTGCGCGAAGGCTTCCTTGCTCAGTCCACTCGCGCCGAACGAGGAAAGGCGACCGAAAGAGGAACTACTTAGAGCAAAGAACCAAAAGATAGTAGCCCACCGCGAGGGTCGAACTCGCAGCCTTCAGATACCCGCCTAATGTAAGAGTCTGACGCTCTATCCGATTGAGCTAGGCGGGCATGCAACATGTTCTGGGTGTTCAAATAACACATGAAGGCGTCCCGAGTGAATTAGTATGATAATCGAATAACGCTTCCAGGCAGGATTTGATGGGAAGCGCGCATGCAAATATACTCCGAGAGCACAGCGAGGTACGGAGGGGAGAGGGGGAGGACTTCCGAGCGGAATGAGTCCTTAAAGTCGATAGTCAAATAGAAAACGGCCGCAGGGAGTATTTCTTTGGCCAAACTCAGCCTCGATTGATTGATTGATTGAATTTCAATTTTGTTACTGTAAGTAGCCAGTGAGGCGAGGACAGTAGTACGTATGGGGGTCGGTGGTAGCAATACTAGACGTGGTTTTTAGATGAGTAATTGAGAGAGAAAGAGAAATAAGTAACGAGATGGTTAAATGAGTGAGGCAAGATTCCGTAGACGGTGGGTTGGAGGGACGCAAGTCGTTGTAATGCGTGCGAGTTGGGGTTGGGCGGTTGGGGAGATTAACGAGACGTGTATAGTAAGGGGGGAGAGGAGGAAAGAAGAGAAGAAATATAAATATGAACCGTCGAGACGGACCGCCAAACTCAGCCTCAGTTGCTGCCAAAGAGTCAACAAGAGTCCAAAATCGTGGTTGAGTCGTGGAGTCGAGGGTCCATTATATTGCCTCGGTAATCGGGAGGAGACACTGTTTAGTGGGTCCATAAATAGTACGAGAATTTTCTGAGAACCTCATGTCAGTGGGAGGCGAGGTTAGTGCAACAGGGTAGAATCCAAAGTCCAACCGGAGATATCATTTCCGTCCTAAATGGGACTGCAAAGATGTCGACAAGTCCAACTTGTTCGAGTCCTGCAATTAGAGTTGAATGGGTTCCTTGAGTAGCGGCACGCGGACTGCCGGCTAATGACCTCTTCCGCTCGGTTTTTTTTTAGCGTGGCACCGTGGCTTCTTGGGCTACTTTTAGATTGGGTGCTGCGGCGGCGAGCCGCACACCACCACTCAACCACTACTTTTCAGAACGAGGCACGAGAGAGGAAATCTGTCAAGAGAGACTACCACTGCGCCCTATTTCCATTCCAAGATGATTCCGGTATATGTGACGACCGCCTTTCTGGCTTTGGCAACTACTGCTGGGGCAATTTCTCGAGTCACCCGCACTGGAAGATATCTTTACACCGACGACGGTACAAGATTCTTCATCAAGGGTGTGGCATACCAACCTGAAGGTAGGCGACTTTTCTGTACCAAAAAGCACCGCTCACCTCTAGTTCTAGGTCTTGTTGTTGCAAGCAGCGCCAATGCATTCAACGAGCCTTCCACATGTACTATATTACTATCATCCGTTTTCCAAATCCAAAAACTAATTAGCTCTTCCAGTCACCGACCCTCTTGCAGACGCTGCTGGCTGTACACGAGACCTGCCGTTTCTGCAGCAACTTGGGATCAACACCATTCGTGCTTACAGCGTCGACTCTTCCCTCAATCACGATTCATGCATGAACGCATTCAGCGCCGCAGGAATTTACACAATGCCTGTAGTATTTGTTTTCCTACCCGCCCACGTCTGACATCCTCCTTAGTATTGATTTAGCTTTGCGTGGGTTTTTATTTCGAGCCCTTTCAAAAATTTAATTGGACTCGATACAGCGTTGAACGGCTCCATTGACCGCGATTCCCCGGCATGGAGCACAAATATCCAAGACCAGGTACATCTTCCCCTACCCATAACACCAGGAACTGAGTCTTCGCAGTACCTCGCCACAGTTTCCGCGTTCTCAAAGTATGACAAC